GACAATGCCAAAGCTGTCAATATGTTGTAGATGGCTCTGACTGGCTGATGACCTGGCAGTGAGTTAGCGCTGATGTCAGCTATACCAAAAAAGAAATAAAAAAAAGAAATAAAATAATGCTATATGTGGGACTTGAACTCCAAACCAAAGAGTTAAGACCACAAGCCTTAACCACTGAGCCAAACTCACCCTTGTGATATCTTTTCCCCAGATAAATATTTAAAGTATTTGGATTGGTTACAAAATGGTCGTCTTCAACCCCTAGTCATGAGTAGGACTCTGGTTCAGAGTTGATTTTATGCGCCAAACTTTGATTGGCGCGTGTAGGCCACCCTGACCTTCGTTTTGCCTGTTTTTTCTAGATTTGGATTTCTTTCGTCAAGACCTTCTTTCTAGTATGCTCAAAAGTGAATTTTGAGCAACTTGATTTCTAGCAGTTTCCAAAAACAGAATATCTGAGCCTCTGTTTTGCCTCCTTGCTCAGCTTGAGCTCTGATATCAATTGTTATGCTTTAAGGCAACCCACCTGAACTATCAGAAATCAAACACACAATAATGGACACAAGATTTACGTGGTTCGGCCTCCATACCTATCTCAATGGAGAGAACCAGAGATTTTCATTAAAACAAATAGAGATTACACAGAAGGGGAGACTCTCTCACTTAACTCACACTCTCTACTGCCTTACACTCTCTGGTTTTCCTCCATCTCTCACAGAGATATACACTCACTTGTATATCATTTGTGTTTTTCCCTTTCTTGTTCTTTTTCTCTTGCAAGTTAATTCAATATATATAGAGGGAGTTGAAGACAACAGCCCATACCTCTCCCATGTGAAGGTATGGCTTGTCACTTCCCTATGACGGCTTGTCTTCTTAGCTCCTCTCTTACCATTGTCAACAATCGGTGGCTTCTCTACATCTGTGCCAACCAATTTCAACAATAGTGGCTACTTTTATCCACATGGGTGAACTCAACAGTATGTTGATTCTATATTACAAATAAGAGTAGTAACCTATGAAGCACCGGCACTTCAGAACAAGTGTCGTATCCGTGTTGGACACATGGACACTATGGGGACACGTATGGGACACACCATATGGCGTATCTCCTTATTTAATTAATTTATATTCAGGAAATACACTGGGGACACTTCGGGACACACTAGGGACATATCAAGTTGTCTTTTCTTCTATTTTATTTAGTATTTTTGATGAATTTTGAATGTTTATTATTTTTTTCTTAGATTTAAATACTTAATAGATCATCCATAAAAAAAAGATATAAACTGTAAATGTTAATTTAAAAGTGTTTTTTTAAAAATAAAAAATAAAAAATAGAATTGGAGTTAGTTTTTGTTAATATTAATTGTTTATAGAAAATAAAAATGTATAAAAATATATTTTATTGCCGTGTCCTTATTTTTTTGAAACACCGTGTCCCGTGTCCGTGCTTCTTAGATAGTAACCAAATTTCAAACATATCCCAAAGCTATTGGAGAGAATATCGAAAGTTTACCTCGCCAAGGTTTTTCCCTGAATATGCAAGGAGAATGCGACCAAGGGCAGCAAAAATTATTTTGCCATCTGGAGAGAATTTCGCAGGATTGACAGCCTGTGTGTTTTGTCAAGTTAGTAAATAATGAAATTTAATGATCAAGGGCAGCAAAAATTATTTTTCCATCTGGAGAGAATTTCGCAGGATTGACAGCTTGTGTTCTGTCAAGTTAGCAAAAAATGAAATTTAACAATGATTCAATGATGAATTTTATTAATGTTTCGTTAAAAGAGTAAAAACAATTACTATTACTGAGGGGGTGGCAGGAAGGGGCAGTGCAGTGGGGGTCCCATTGTGGTGGATGCGGGTTGGAAAGAGATTTTTATGGTATGTCCAATTAAAAAATAATCCCATATAAAAGAAGAAGAAAAATACCAACTCCATTGTCATTGTAGAAGATAAGAAAATAAAAGAAAGATATATTTCTTGGTGCGATGGAGAAGATCTATTATATAGGCAAGTTTGGAGTTGCCACCAAGATATGAAAATATGAAAAGGATCTAAATTAGAGCTAACTACATAAATTCATAATATAGATGATTCAATATTCCTAATCTACGTTTAACACTGATCAAAAACAGAAACCCAACCCTTTCAAAGCAAAACATGATAACAGAGACTCTATGACAATGCATATTCCTTTAGTTAACTTGCGCCATTTGAAAACTTTTTGTTGTGTATCATCAAATTCAAAGAAAGGTCATAAAGGGCCATTTCACCCTTGTTTGTTCCCAAAGCCAGTACTCCTTCCTGCGCGCGCGCACGCGAACACACCTCAAAAATCATATATCATAAGGGTAATCGAAAACAATCATAATTAATTTTAGAAGCAGAAGGTTAGACAAAATCAAATATTACTAAGAACATTACTAAAATCAAACATTAATTTTAAGACTTATCAGTCTCTTGTTTTTATAGTGATAAATTTATTAGTTAGGACTTGTGGCACCGTTTGTTTTGGGTGTAATGGATGGGAGAGGATTAGAATGAAGGTAGGATTATGTAGTGTTGTGTTTGTTTGTAGAGTTGGGGAGGAGATTAGGATGAAGGAGGGGTTATAGATGGAGGTTGGAAGGGGGATTGGGATGGGGGAGGTGGAGGTAGAGGTGGTATTAGAAAAATAATGAGGGGATTATAATTTTTTATATTTTTTTATTTTTTACATATTGGGAATTTTTTTTTAAATATTAATGTTTAATTTTTTTTATTTGTTTTATTATTTTATATAAAAATAATTTAACAATTCTTACACTAACAACTATCGCACACGCACAAACAAACATCAAAAATCATATATCATAAGGGTAATCGAAAACAATCATAATTAATTTTAGAAGCAGAAGGTTAGAAAAAATCAAATATTACTAAGAACATTACTAAAATCAAACATTAATTTTAAGACTTATCAATCTCTTGTTTTTATAGTGATAAATTTATTAAGTTAGGACTTGTGGCCCCGTTTGTTTTGGGTGTAATGGATGGGAGAGGATTAGAATGAAGGTAAGATTATGTAGTGTTGTGTTTGTTTGTAGAGTTGGAGAGGGGATTAGGATGAAGGAAGGGTTATAGATGGAGGTTGGAAGGGGGATTGGGATGGAGGAGGTGGAGGTGGAGGTGGAGGTAGAGGTGTTATTAGAAAAATAGTGAGGGGATTAGAATTTTTTATATTTTTTACATATTGGAAATTTTTTTTTTATATTTTTTTATTTGTTTTATTATTTTATATAAAAATAATTTAACAATTCTTACACTAACAACTATTATTAAAACAAACATAATTTTACTTAATTTTTTCACTATCAATCCCCTCACTATTAATCCTCTCACTATGAATTTTCTCTATTCTATATCTGAAAACAAACGGAGCCTGTAGGTGAATAAGTCTAATTAATAAGACTAATCGGTAAGTTTTTGATTTAGTTTCCTGACTCTGTCGCTAAGCTCACGGTAGGTTGAATTGGACATCATCTGAACAATCAAGGAAGTGTTTGGAGAGAAGAAAAAGAATTGTGTTACCATCACCTCTTAATTCCAAATAAACCGTGATCGCATTTGAATAGCATTACTTAATCATAAATTACACTAATTTTTTTTTTATATTTTAAATTTGATAAAAATACACTAAATTTAATGTTGTAATTTCAAACTACTTAACTCCTTTTCTATCATCATTCATTTGGACTAAAAAACTTACGTTAATATTTTTTTTACATTGAAATATATATATATATTACCATAATTATTCATGTGTTTACATAAACTTGAGTTAATTATATTTGCTTTAACTTTAATAAAAGGAAAATTGGGGATAATTTTGTCAAACTTATAGAATTATTCCCTTTGTTTTTTTTTTTAATTTCAAAATTTGCTTTCTGAATTTTTTTATTAAAACTGAAAACTAGTTTGCTGAAAAGTAAAAATGAAAACACTTGTAATTTTCATATGATTTTCTCATTTTTTGAGAGAAAATACCCTTTTGACATTATTTTCGTCGAACTAGATACTTTTTTATGTAAAAATTACAAAAAAAAAACCTCCATGGTTTAACCTCTATAACAAATCAAACTTAAATTTTTTAATTGTTTCATTTTAAATTCTGAACTTTTAAAATTATAACAATTCTAATTATCTATTTGTATCCATTAATTATAACTAACACAAAGGGAAAAATTTAGATAATTTAACGATTTTTTTTTCTTTTCGTTATTATTGACAATCACCTCCCACTCTTACCATCATCCATTATCACCCATTTTCTTTCTCAATCCACGGTCATCTCTCCATTACTTGTTCTCATCTGCTGCGACTTTTTCCCTTTTCCATATCACTACCTCATTTCCTTCCTTCCCCATAACATAGCCACCACTACCATCTAATAGTACTGACAAAAAGTGATCATATTATCAATATCTCTTATTTTGTTAATTAAAACTAATATATGGTTAAAATTGATATCATTTTAAAAATTAAAATAATTAAAAAGTTAAATTTGATTTATTATTTGAGTTAAATCTTAAGTTTTTATTTATTTATTTATTTAATTTCTTCTATATATTATATCCTTGTTGACAAATTTTGGTGAGAGTGAGGGGGAGTGTGTATGTGGTGATAAAAATTTTAATCGAAAAACATTTTTCACTCATAATAACTAAAGACATAAGACAATAGGGAAGTTTCCTCACAAGCCATATCAAGAAATTGGTCGATAGTATCACCTTAATGTTGTGTTTGGTTGGAAGATTTGAAGAGGTAAGTGAAATGTGAATAAAATACACTAAAATTTCACTTAATTTTATACACATTTTGTCTTTCCTTTTTTAAATTTCTCCCTAAATCCTCTAACTAAACACAGCATAATGGTCATCATCGTCACATGGCACACACATAATTGCCTCTCTAACAAAGTCCTCATGACCTTGAAGTCTCCACATGGATGACTAAGGGAATAAAATAAATAAAATAAAATAAAACAAAATAAATGATTGTACGGCATAGTGAGAAGTGAAAAAGAGTGATTGTATTTTTTACTATAATTAATAAATAAAAGAAAAATATGTATCCTTTAGTCTTATTTGTTAAGAACTGTTAAAAATAGACTTTGAGTTGAGATTGTTGTTAGTGTTAAAAAATGTGTAAAATTGTATTGACATTTGTAAAAAATAAATAAATAAAGTGTGCGCTTTTAAATAATGTAAAATGTGTATTGTGATTACGAATACTTTGGTCTTATGTGGTTCATATTTAAAAAAATAATTTAAATATTAAAAATCTTTTATAAGAATAATTTGATTTCTCTCCATATGAATAAACAAAACTTGAGTTGAAATTCTCTTCTTTTTTTCTCATTTCTCCAAATATTTCATTATTTTCATCTCCTTAATCATTCAAATAAAAGATGAAAACACTCACTCTCTATTTTTTTTCCTTCTCATAAAACCCTGAGATCCATTCAAGTTGTAAGAAAGGACTCCGTATTTTTGATCAATCAATTAATTATATTGTATTTCATAAAAAGCACTTCGACCACAAATTTATTTTTAAAATTTTTTAGCCAATAACCCTAAGCTTTAATCTTTTACAACCAAAAGAATATTTATTTCTTCGAATCTTACATATCCCTCTATATATTCAAATCTTGTTTGTCTGTAAATATCACCTACACATATCACTTATTTATTCATTTATATATTCACCTATATATCTATCTCACCATCACCAACTATCATCACCTATCATTATCGGCAATTTTTTCATTGCCAACAACTTTTCCTAACTTGTCCATGTTACCAAAGGAAAGGAAAAAAAAATCCTTAATGAAATATCTCATGGACATGAACTTTACATCAATATTTTTTTTTACATGAATAGAATGATAGGGTTGTATTTATATAATACCAAGAATTTTAAAAAGAGTAAATTACATTTATCTTAAGTTTCAAAAATAACACTAACATCTATTACTTCTAAAATTATTATCAAAATTTCACCTTCTGTTAACTTGGCTACAAAAGAGTGTTAATAGAAACGACAAAATGACTCAAATAGCCTTATAATCTACCTTACTCCTAACATCACCTCTCTTACCCTATTGTCCAAAACCCCACCTTCTTGAACCAGCACCACTTCCATCCCCAACTTACCATTGACACTAACCACTACCGGTCCTAGAGCTCTTTGCAAACCAACCAATAATTCTACTACACCACCAACTCATCCACCTCTCTCCCAAGTGATATAATCAAGAATCAATTGATGCATAAATTGTTGAGTAGGCAAGCATTGGTGTGTTGGCTATGGACAAGTTATGGGTTTTCGAATAAGGGATATATATATTAGAGGAACGGGTTTTTGTTGATAGAGGATGGTAAGGTAGTGATCATGGCATGCAAAGAGGGCTTGTGAATGGAGGAGAGACAAAAAGCTAAGTGCAGGTTGTGTGCTTGGATATGTTCTGGGTTGCACCTAGAGAACGTGATGTCAGCATCTACGACTTAATCACCATCCTCGTCGATGTCAACATCTACAACTTGAGATTTGAAGAGGTTCGAGCCCAAAATCACCAATTGAGACAGAGACCTCCCACGCAAACCTAACTGCAAATGAACAGAAAATCAAATCCCCAATTCACCTTCCACACAACCCATATTCATCTCCAACCCAGCAAGTTTGTCATCTTCTTCATACCCATTCTCAACCATAAACCATTACCCACAGCCCGCCACTTCAGTCATCATCTCATCCCACAACCTCTTCTCATCACTAACAAGTTTCTAGAATCAGGTTTAATTTTTTTATTACGCCAGATGGGTTCCAGTCTTAATTTTTGGCTCTAGAATGTTGTTCCAATATGAGATTAATGTCTATGCTAGTCATCAACGGAAAACTAGTTATGTTTTGTATATATTTAATTTGGGTGTTGCAGTGCGGTTCAATGGTGTTGTGTTGTATGGTTGTGATAGTCGTTGTGGGTGGTGATGGTAGGAGGTGGATGGATATGATTTTTTTGGCTGGTAAATTGATGATGATGATGTTGAGTAGCAGTTGTGGTTATGGTTGTTGTGATGTACAAGTGGTGGTTATGACACTATTTGGTTGTAGATTTTTTTTTTGGTCTTTAAAGTCTTGTTTGGGTTAAACCATACATGTACACCTTTTTGTATAAGTGTATTTATTTGAGTCATATCAATCAATATTTTCTCTCAAGTAAAGTTGTATACACCAATTACGTTACTAACAACGTACCAACAGATGATGTGGCATTGCCACTTCAGACCTACAGGACCCACCCAATATAAAGAAACAACAGTGGTGATACAGATCACTAATTTAGGAGCACTAATGCTAGCTCTAATGAGCTGGCAGTAAAAAAATAAAAATAAAGGCCAAACTATCACATCAAGGTGGGACCCACAGTAATGCCATCTCATTAGTGCAGCTTTAGAGCTGCTACTTTAGTGGTCCTAAACATTATTCAAGAAACAAAACCAAAGTCTTCCTAAAATTACTCCTGTAGAGACCCAAACAAAAATGGACGAACCGTTCTCTCTCTCTCTCTCTCTCTGAGCACTACTCCGTTCAATCACATCTTCGTTCAACCTCTCATTCATCTCTCTTGGAAGATTAGGGATTTTGTGAAAGTCGTAAAAGTCGATGGAGAATCAAATTTTGCAGTTGTGAAATCATCTCTGTTCAACTCCTCTCTCTCTCTCTCTCTCTCTCTCTCCCGCTAAAACTCTTTAAATTCAGAGTATATCTTATAGTCGACGAATGAAAGTCGATGGAGAATCGAAAAGTTTTCACAATTTGATTTGGGTAAATAATTTTTCAATTTTTATAGATTGAAATGGGTATTGCTAAAAAGCTTATTTTGATTACAAGATATTAGGATTAGAGATTTCGTTGTTTGATTTGAGATTTCGAGAATTTTGTTTTCCATAAGCAGAAGCAATTCACTTTGGGGGTATTCCATGAATACTGCAACTAAAGTTATACGAAAATATATAAATTTGAAATATTTGATAGAACTGTGTATTGAAAAATGACTAAAGAAAAACCTGTATTTCTCAATTTTCACAACTTGGTTAACTAGTTTCTAAAAAAAATTTAGAAAACGAATTTGAAAACTCAACCAAACAGAGCGAACTTAAAAGTATTTTAACATTTCTCAAATGCTTCTAAAATTTTTGTCCTCAGTTTTAATTTATCTGACATTTTTTTTTCTTGTTTGTTTCATCTTTCTTATTGTATTATTGTTAAGCAATAGGCATAATAAAATTTGATAAGAACAAATTTTTGCCTCAAAAAAGGGTTGGATCCTGCACTCCTGCTTCAAATACATTCTATTGTAGGTAACAATTATAGTTCAAATTGCACATGGGCAACTTCAATAGATAACCCCATTCAAACTGCATGAAATGTATTTGATCATATATATTTCTAAGATTCAAGTGACTGAAATTTGTATCATCACTTATCCTGCTTGTATGTAGTTTGATAGATTTGAATGTTGTTAATGGCTATATTGTTTTCATATTCACTAGTTGATTTAACTTTTTTTCCCCCTTGTTGTTTAGTTTGATATGAAGTTTCAAAGGAGTTTTTTTGTGATACTGCAATCTGGAAGGTGAAGATTGTAGCTGCTCTTGACAGATATAATCAGAGCATGGCTGCTGTTGATAACCAAATTATGGAACAAGAGGCTGAAGTTGAAGATTGAAATGCTTTAGCAAAACATTTCATTCCGAAAGATTTGGTTATGACATTTCGTATGTTTTGTTTTGTAATGACGATGTTAATCATGGGTTTGAAATGAAATTTGTTTTGTATTTTGTAATCAAATATTGGTTATGATTTGTTGTACTGCAATGGAACTTTTGTTATGGTTTGATATGAAGATTGAATATTGTCTTGAATATGGTTGAGATGAGATGGTTTGAAATGAAGGTTGTGTTAATCAAATTGTGTGATTAAAAAAGACAAATAGATTCGTATTTGATCAAATTAAATAATAGAACATTAAATAAATCCATATATGATAAATTACATTCTTGAGCATAAAACATGAAACATGATTAACAGAAATACATGTTTAATTGAAATATTAAAAACAAGAAAACAAACCAAATTTTGCATGACACCACAGTGTCCTTAAAACAGATTAGCCGTCTCCCCATGAGTGCTGGAGGAAAGTTGACTTCTGTCTCCCAAGATAAGATGGTCTAGATCGGCTAACGCAGAAGCATCTTCTGTTAACTTTAACGAACAAACAATGGTAGCACTCTCTCAACACAAGAAAAAAATTATAGGCACAAATAGACTGACTGTATAATTCTGGAAGGCAAAAAGCTGTACTAAAGCCAAGGGATATGGGTCTCTTTTTATATACCATGGGAGAGAGAGGAGGAGCCTCTAGCCATGAAGGCTAGCCACTAATGCAGGCTATTACTCCTGCAAAATTACTGGAGTAGTGCATAAAATTGATGGGAATTCAAAGTGAGTTACATACAATATACACATGTGTATATACATTTTTGCAACAAACTTGGGCCTGCAGCAGACTTAGCCCAAAAAGAATAGGTTGGTGGACCACTAATCCGGCCCAGCCCAAACCTAACCTATTCTAGTAAGCCTCATGATCCAAGACCCACGGACCCAGACCCGGCCCGGTCTGGGTGGGCAGGCAGCACGCGCGCGCGTGTGTGGCAATTTTGCCATAACTAACGTGGACCATAGTCTTGGCCTAAGCCCATCTTTGAAGCACCCATCCCTCCTTTCCTTCGGAAAATTTGGATGCCCCAAAGGGCTCATGCCCTTCTCATAATTTTGAGGTTTAAATACCCATCAAAACTTTCCTCTACAATCAATGTGAGATTGGTAGTTATACACAATTCTCAATATCTCATTCATGAGGTCATTTTTATGAGACAACTTCTCATTCAATTCTTAATGGTTTTTTGTCATTCTTTTTGTGGTGTAAAGACCTTGTCACACAGAATCTAAACTCATTTAATCCCATGTCAACCAATGGTTGAGACCTATTTTAATTTCACATTAAAGTCACCAAAAAATTATTTTTTCCAACAATCCCCCCACATGAATAAAAATTGACCAAATAAAGAAAACGGACAACGTTTACAACAAAGACTTGGAGAGAGAGCACACAAACTAACCCTACATCAGAAAATGTAGTTGTTGGCCTTGAACCTTTCGTAGTGAAAGCCTATTGGATTTACTGGTTGACCAGTGAACGTAATGTCTTGAACTGTTCTGCCGTTTGTGTAAACCGAGACAATAGACCTTACACAAGAGTTAGTCTAACCATTGTTCTTGTTCTCACTGGTGTGCCCGGTATAGCCCTGGCTTTAAAGAATTCAGCCTTACTAATTCTTAAAAAAGCGGCCCCACTTCGTACTCACATAGGTGACTTATATAAGGTATCGCATTATACCACGGTTGATTATTCATATCACTCAGGCATTAAAAGCATTAGCTTAACCTTCTACCCCCACAGGGTATCACTGTACAAAGGAATGGGCAAGATGATTTACCTCTTCAGTGACTTACCCGTTATACGAAATTAGGTTGTCCCTTTGAACCTAAATCTTGAGATCTCCAGTCAACTAGGTTGGGTTTTCCGTTCTAATAACATTACTAAAGGCCTTAACCCCATTCATCTTGACGATGTTTCTACTAACTCTTGAGTTAACCCTTTGGTTAGCGAATCCATAATGTTGTCCTTAGACTCTACATAGTCTAAAGAGACAACTCCATTAGAGAGTAGTTGTCTTATGGAATTATGTCTACGACGGATATGTCTAGACTTTCCATTATACATATGACTCTGTGTCTGTCCAATCGCCGATTAGCTATCACAATGAATACAGATAGCAGACACAGGTGCTGGTCAACGTGGAATATCCTCAACGAACTGGCGAAGCCATTCAGCTTCTTCAGTTGCTTTATCCAAAGCAATAAGCTCAGATTCCATCGTTGATCTCGATATACATGTTTGCTTGGAAAACTTCCAAGACACAGTTGCCCCTCCAAGGGTAAACACATAACCACTAGTGGATTTGGAGTCCTTTATATTAGATATCCAGTTAGCGTCACTATACCCTTCTAGTACCACTGGGGTATCTGCTATAATGCAGCCCATAATCTCGGGTGTAGCGTAGATAACCTAACACTCGCATAATGCCTCTCCAATGAGTGGCATTTGGATTACTCGTGTATCTATTAAGCCTGCTAACAGAGTAGGCTATATCTGACCTTGTACAACTCATCAGATACATCAAACTTCCAATGACTCGAGAATATTCTATGTGACATTTTGTTTTCAGGGTCGCTCGAGCGAGGAAACCATCGCTCGAGCGTAGAATTGCTGCTCCTAGAATCTTGCTGAATTGCAGGCGTGTTCACTCGAGTGTGGAATGTTAGCTTCTAGTAGTTTCACTGTAGCGCTACAAAATTTCTGAGGCTTCTCTTTCTCCGCTCGAGCGAAGAAGTTGTCGCTCAAGCAAGGCCTCTTGATTGTGTCTAGTCGCTCAAGCGTAGGAAGTCATGCTCGAGCGAGGGTCGCGATATCATCTTTTTAAATATAATGATTCTAGATCATTTTCTTTTTCCTTTTTTTTCTATCCTTCATCTCCTCTTCCTCTCTCTTTGAAACCCTAAATTTCCACTATAAAATACCTCTCATATCCTTGAGATCCAACTTAAATCTCTTGCTAGGAGTGAAGAACATTTAAAGATTATCATTATCTACCAATTGGATTGTGGGTTTGCGAAAGATTCTTGTAGGAGCTTGCATTTTTGCTTGATTGTTGAGGTAGGGATATTTTTACCTTGGAATTTCTTTATTATTGAAGGGATTTCATGGTATCGTATGATTTGAGAACTAATTTGAGGATTTTGCTGGATTAAACCCTTATTTCACACTTTAAATCATTTTTGTCCAACATTCAGTTTGAAATTTCTCAATCCTTTCTTTTAAACATGAATGTAAATGTTATTAAAACCTAGATTGGTGACAAAGAAGAAAAACCCCCAAATTAAGTAAAACCCTAAATACCCAAATTATGTAGAAATCACTACATGGAGTGGAATTTCACTCAGTTCATGAAATATTGTGAACAATGGAGAGATGGAAATTGAGGTTATTGATATAGTAAAATGAATGGTGGCTTGGTTATTATTATTCCTTAAATTTTATGTGGTGTTCATCTATGGTGAGGTTTGATGTTTGTTGGTAGGATTGAAATGTGATATGTTTGTTGATTGTGCATGAGTCCAAGTGAGAGTTGGTTTTGGGTGAATGTGGTGTTGTGTTTGTACCCGTGCATGGGAGTTTAAAAAGGTTCCCAAATGCCCTATCTAGGCTTATCGCTGGATGAATGTAGGAAAAATGTTTTGGGGTGTCCACATAGTCCCGCCGTATAATAGCCGGCGAAAGTGGAAAAACGGGTGATTTTCGTTTAGGTGCCCACTTCCTGCCGTAAAATGGGGGCGGTTTCCAAAAATAAAAGTGATGGGTGTTCTCAATTGGACTCTTGTAGATGAATGTGTGGCTTGATGTTTCATGGTTGTGAATGTTTATTTGTTATACATGAAGATATGATGTGCAATTGTCTGTGTTAGAATCTCATGGTTTCTTGTGATTTGTTAAAGACTAACCCTGAAGATATATTTTATTGTAAAGTTTGTCACACGGATGCCATAATCTTTTTCAAAGGATTAAATACTTGGTTAAATATGTTCCTACCAGGCAAATAGCTCAACCCTAATTTATATTTTTCAGGAATTGACGAAGGACAACCTTGTTGATGGACTGGTCCAAGCACTAGCTCTTTTTGGGGATGGTAAAAGTCAAAAGGGTGTTGGATGTTTTAAATTGGGACTTTTGTATCCGGACTACTAAATGTATCTTATGACGTTGTACGCCCAAGGGGCTTATGTTTTGTTAAGACATCTAGTTTATTGAACTGGAACACGTATTTTGGATATGGTGGGAATGTATTTATTAAATTATAATCACTTAACTCTTAGTTCAATGAGAAAGATGACTTTTTGGATTAAAGGATCATGTTATCTTAGTGTACTATAGTGTGAATTTCAAGGCGTTACAAATTGGTATCAGAGTAATAGGCTAGAATACTTTGGGCTCGTGAGAAGTGACGTGTGTCACAGTAGGGTCCTTAGGTCAAGATGGAATGCTTAGGATCCCTTGTGTGTTATGTGTTCCTATGTGCTTGTATTGATGTGGGATTAAACTCCTATGATGTGGCTTTGTCTGTCGCATTCATCGAAATCCTATTGGAAAGACACTTGATCACTGTTCTTTCCACTTGAAGGTCCTTGATTGCCATGGAATTAGCTAACATCTAGGGATGATAATTCATGTGTGTTTCTATGTGAATGTTTGCGTATCTGTTTGGATTCTTTGATGTGAAAGTTTATGAAGTTTACAGGGAGAGTAAGTGTGAGGAATGAGTATGGAGCACTTAGGTGTGGAAAGTTGTTATTGAGTTTAACCTTGCCCTTATTTCTTATAGATGTCTAGATGCGCTAAAGCTCGTGGTAAACCCCATCGGGGCTGCCGAAACATCCTAGCTCAACCTGAGATTCCTCCACAAGAGGAAGGAGTGGGTCAAAACAACATACCCGTTCCACCGGCCCAAGAAGCTATGGGGGTATCAGCTAGGGAAATGGTGGCTCTACGGAGTCCGTGGAAATATTGAGAGCCGAGCAAGCAGCTAGGACTATTGAAGATGAAACGAGAGCTTCCTTTTTGAAAAAGGAGTTCTTTTGTTCCAATCTTGCCGAGTACAATGGTGAGCCCAATCCGATGAAGACTGACGAGTGGTTGGAGCAAGTGGTCAAGTCTTTTGAGATTTTAGACATTTGAGAAAATGAG